CTTGTTTTTGCTGACTGTATATAGCTTCTCCATCTTTGGCTGCAGAGAATATAGTCAATCTGATTTCGATATTGCCCATCTGGTGATTTCCATGTATAGAGTCGCCTCTTGTGTTGTTGGAAAAGAGTGTTTGTGATGACCAGCTTATTCTCTTGACAAAACTCTATTAGCCTTTGTCCTGCTTCGTTCTGAACTCCAAGGCCAAACTTCCCTGTTGTTCCTTTTATCTCTTGGCTCCCTACTTTACTCCAAATGCCCGATGCAGGGTAGTGGGGGATCAGGAGACGGTGGTGGTTGTTTAGTTGTTGTGCCTCCCCATTCAAGAGCTTTCTGAGCTGCAAACGTTTAAAAGCTTAAACAAAAGCATCAACGGTTTGCGAGAGAATTTAGCTGCAACGTGCAAGAGGTTCTGGGGAAATGTTAAAAAGCTTAAGGCAAACAACCGAGGGATCTTCAGTGGGTGAGGCCATTTAGCTGCAAAGTATCTTAGATTTGAGTGCTTTCCAGGTAGCCCCTTTCTTGAAACGTTTAAAGGAATGTCTGTGTGGTCTGATCCTTACCGGAGAATCCCTGTTTGTCCTATAGCTGCTGGCTCAGCTGAAAGGGAACCAGGAGGAAGAGAACCGGCACCTGCTTCAGGAGATCCAGGCGTTAAGCCGGGAGAACAGACGGCTGCTGGAACACAGCATGGAAAGCCGGGAACACTTTCAGGAAGAGCAGAGGCAGTACCTGTGAGTGACAGCGCCCCCTGGTGATCAGGGGAAGCTCTCTCGCCCCTTGATGTTTGTGTCTTTGGCCCGAATCCTGTTGCCTAGCTGAGCTAAGGTGCGCAAGAGGGTTGTGAAATCTGTGCGGTGGGGCAACGGGCAAGTAGTTCCACAGGCTGTGTTGCCATTGGATGGAGCCATGGAAGTGGCAGACAGCCGTGGCATCACTTCCCGTGAACTTCTCTCCTGTCAATTTCCTGCAGCAGTAAGAGATCGTATTGTCTGAGGTCATCCGGATGGTTTGTGAGATCCCTTCTATCCTTGTTGCAGTCCCTTTGAATTCTTGGACCCCAAGCAGCCACCTTTTGGGGAGGCTGATTCGCCCCGGGCTGGAGAGTCTCAGCGTTTGATCCTCTTCTCCGTTTCTTCCCTAGAGACAAACTGGGTGAGTTACGTCGGGAGAAGCAGAAACTGGTAGAGAAGATTATGGACCAGTACCGGGTGCTGGAACCGGCCCTTCCTCGTGGCAAGTAAGCCCAACCCAGAAAAGGACAATTCTCTGGCATAATTTGGCAATTTCTAACCCTAAAGCAGGGCTAAGGGGGACGGCTTCCTGCCCTGTGGTTCATCGTTCAGAGCACACGGCCACCTCTTTGTTATTCCAACACATGTTTGGTTATTGTTGTTGCTTTTTAATTGGCAAAAAAAGTTGGTTTCTGTGCGGTCTCAAAGAAGCCTGTACTGTATTTTTGTCCTTTTTATATTTTGATTCTAACGTCAACATTGACCACCAATCGGTTGATAGGCCCAATCTCTCTAAATCAGAGAGATCTGCTTTGATTTGCGTCTCTGCCTTGAGCTGGGGGTTGGACTGGATGGCCTTAGAGGCCCCTTCATGCACCATAATTCATGGTAGTGATCCTGGAAATCTGCATCAATGAGTGAACTTGGTCTTAATCTGGACCTGGGGGTGCGTGAGGGTTGTTGTGAGCTTAGCAACAGGAGAATGAGGAGAGGGGACCTGGGATGGGTGGAGAAACCTCTCTAACTAGCCAATTAACCCAATCCTAATTGTTTCCTTCTTCCACCTCTGAGGAAGAGCAACTGGATCACGGAGAAAATAAGGAAGCTGATGAAACCTCGCCGGGAGGCTTTCCGGGAACAGCTGCGCCCCATGGCTGAGGGCGCTGGCAGCAGTGAGAGCCTGACGGGGCAGGAGAACCACGGCGTGGAGGGATCAGGTGAGTCCCTGTGGTCCCGAATGATGGGAGGAGAAGGAGAGCAAAGTCTAGACACCGAAAAAGAGGCACCGTGTGATTTTTAGCGTTGGATTTATTCCCTGATCTTGATCACCTCAGTATACGTTCAGGTACTTGTTTCACAGTTTACTGGTGTAAGCTAGCCTGGATTCTATTATTATTATTATTATTATTATTATTATTATTATTATTATTATTATTATTATTATTATTATTATTATTATTATTATTATTATTATTATTAT